AGGTTATCTAAAATAGGGCTATTTAATAGGGTAGCACGAAAAGGGGCTTTGATGTATACTGAGCAAAATAACTAGAGGCGTCTTGCAGATCGTTGACCGGGAATGGACGGAAACCGACACAAGAGTGGATAGAATTAAGCAGAACAGAGTGAAACTGTCATAGAATATATATGCACTGCACGTAGTGAAACGGGTGAGTTCTTTAGGGTCTTTATCAATGGTATCAGGGGCTCCGGTCAGCAATGAATTGATTTGGGTTATTTAGGCGTTGGTCGCTTTGATGTGGGACTGACTAGACGCTAGGCACCCAACCTTAAAACACCTTGTGGGTGAGGCAGGGGGTGCATCCCTCAAACTGGTCCGGAATGCGGACGCATATAGTCAAAGCGGTGGATACAACCGCGCCCAACAACGATTGCCCGTGCCAAATTGTCCATTGCGGGTGTAGACCCTAAGCCTTCGTCAGGCCCAAACCAACCGAGCCTCGAATAGGAAGGCGTACATCGGCAGTCTGGGGTAATACCCAGCTGGGAAAGGATTGCGGATGGAAATCGCAAGGAGCTAACGAAAAAATCGAATCGGGGTGGGTGCTTGTGTCATAATACTGGTAAAAGGATGTTATCAAAATTTGTCTTGCTCTACAGATCATAAATGGGGGTGGATACGTGTATTGGTAGAACATCAGTTGAGAAAATGGACACTGCTTCCTGGTTAGCATGTGCCACGGAGGTGGGCCAGTTGAGTCAGATGAAAACGAGATCAAATGGATATAAATTAAGAATTTTCGGGTCAAAATACTTATAAAAGTATGTACCAAAGTATGTTGTGTTCCACAGAACCAGATTTGAAGCTGGATCCGTATACTGATATGGAATTGGGTGAGAAAGTGGACACTGCTACCTGGTTAGCATGTGCCACGGATGTGGGCCAGTTGTGTCAGACCAGNGAATTGGTGGAGAAAGTGGACACTGCTACCTGGTTAGCATGTGCCACGGATGTGGGCCAGTTGTGTCAGACCAGAACGATATGCTCTGTACTGCAAAGACCCAGGGTTACAGTGAGTATGCAAATCTTGCCTAAACATTGCGAAAGAAGCAGTGCTTAAGACCGTTGTCAAGGGGATACCTGCAGAGATGATCTCCGTTATCAGCCCCGCCAAAGGGAGCAAGAAACCGAAACCGAACCCGCCGAAAACGTACGCGAATGCAGGGATGGCCGATTCTGACCCCACCAACCGAGGTTGCAAGGTGACTAGCAAAGGGAAGACAGCACTTGGTTCTGCTGTATCGCGAGTAGTCAGGACGCTCATTGCCGAAGCCACTAGTGTTGAACCTTTTGACAAAGGCAGGAGTTAACCAATTAGGGTAAGGGAAAACATCCTTGATGACCTGGAATGTCAATTAAAGATGATCAGTGATCGACTTAGGTCACTGAAAGCAAGCGGAGGCGGCCCAAATGGGGTTCATAAAGCCCCTTTACTTCTTAACAACGAACAGCCGCTGGTTAAGGAAACGAAAGCTTGCCGGGATATGGACAGAAGAAGAATGCTAGAAATTCTAAGGATAGCTGGCATGGAGAGGTGTATACTCATGAGGGTCCATAGAGTAAGTGTCTGGAGGACGCCAATTAATGGTGAACCCCGAGCGGCTAGGCCGCTTTTAGTGGAATTCGCCGAACAATCCAGTGAAAATCAACTACTGGCCAACGCTGGAAAAATATTCCACGTAAAACGGGGTAGGTAAGAGATAACCCTAGATGTTCCTATGGCTCTTATAATGCAGAGTATTAGAGCACCAAGAATGTACCATAACTTGCCGAGCTATTTCGGGGTGACAGGCGGCAACCGATCTTCAGCGACCGGCGTAGCCAAAGTGTCACCAATAGTAGTGATCGAAGATGTTACGGAGGACGAGGAGTGGCAAAGCTGTCTTGTCACCGAGACAGCCGAAAGCAGCCATTTCGTACTTGGAGCCGAGGCTGTGGTAAACACTCTTTTGAAGAGAATGTCTACCCCGATAGAAACCCCTGTAGAATTGAAATCATTATTTCTATGTGAAAGTAAGCTGGATGAAGGAGCAAGACGTCAAAAAACCTGCCACACAATCGGGTGCTGCGCCTGAGGCCCAAGATGGAGTAAATAGAGAGACCGGCAAGCTGTCGGTTACTTGTAACCAACACTTGCAGTATTAGAAATAAGTGGATGTAACTCCTTGCAACAGCATGTGACCTGACTGTAGTTATAATAGCTGTATCGGAAACATGGCCTAAGGACATTGATGGGGCATCAGGTGTAGTGCTAGAAAGATTTGCCATCCACAGGCAGGATCGGCCTCTAGCACCAGGAGAAGGAGTGGCCTTCCTCATAAGAAAGGACATTGTGCACATCGTTTTGCGAAGTTTCGGTGAACCTGCACAATGTCTGAATATGTACAGTAACGCTGCTGATGCCGGATAGCAAATTTACGATGGCGTGTGTCTACCGATGTCCCGGGGCTGAGACCTCAGATGATCGGGCATTGATTGATGCACTTGATCTACTAGTGCAAGAATCAGCGAAGCTGTACATAGTCGGTGACTTTAACCTACCAGATATAGATTGGATGGCAGATAGGTGCACGGAAGGTTGTCAGGCGGAAAGGTATTTAGGGTGGATAAACACAAAAGCACTCATCCAGCATGTTGCCTTCTGCACGAGGTTCAGAGCTCAGCAGGGGCAGTCCCTACTAGACCTCGTCATCTCCAAAAGGGAGCAGGATGTAATCAGTGTAACTGGATATCCACCGACAGGGAAGAGTGATCACCTCCTCATCGGGGTCGATATCCGTACGAAGCCACCCTTACGTAGATTACGGATGCATAGGGATTTGGGCAGAATGAACATAAGTAGGTTTCGGGAATACACCACACAAATGCAATGGGTTCCCGAGCATGACACCACAGACGTCGAAGAATGCTGGGTGTTAATCAAACACAACCTCCTCAACCTCCAGGATCTTTTCGCTCCGTTAAGATATAGGAGGCACAAGGGAAAACCGCCATGGTGGCGGGCCGCAGTAGCCAGGGCAAATAGTTAACGAAACCGAAGCTGGCGGGCCCACCAAACACCCGGCACGCTTAGGTCGTGGGTCCAGTACACCGCCCACAGAAACGCAGTGGTTAACCAAGTGAAGCAGAAAAAGAGGTTGTTCGAAATGAATCTGGCCCAGAAAGTAAAGCTGGAGACAAAGGGGTACTACGGGTATGTCCAGTCCAAGAGATGTACCAGAGAGGAGATGGACTCACTAGTACTTGAGTGAGATAGGAATATAACTGAAAACCAGAGTAAAGCTGATGCACTCTGCGCTTACTTTAGTAGCGTGCAAAGGCTAGACACTGGTGATTCAACTACTTCTTAACCGTGGGAGATAGACGTAGTGGAGGAACTACAGGTAACGGTCGATCACGTATCGGAGGTACTGGGCTCTCTCAAGGGATCCAAAGCGGCAGGGCCAGAAGGAATTAGCCCAGCGATCATCCAACCGATTGCTGATTTATTTGCGAGGCCCACTTGCAGTCTTTTAAGGACATCACTAGCTGAAGGGAGATTACCGTCTGACTGAAAAACGGGCTCTGTAGTAGCCATACACAAGGGCGGTAAGAAGACATTTGTTAAGAACTATCGACCTGTTAACTTAACCAGCGTACTATGCAAGATGCTAGAAAAGATAGTTAAAACGCATCTGGTGAAGCATCTGGAGCGTAACATACTCATGACAGAGGCACAGCATGGCTTCATTAAGCACCGATCATGCCTAACAAACCTGTTGTGCTTTTTGCAGGATGTAACTGTAAAAATAGATGAGGGTAAAACCGTAGAGGTGTTCTATCTGGATTTCAACAAGGCTGTTGATGCAGTGAATCATCGCCTGCTGTTGACCAAATTAGAACGATTCGAAATCCAAGGACAGTTGCACAACGATCGTTCCATGTGACGGTTGGTGAAGCAGAGATGCCGCCTAAACATGAGGAAGCGCTTTTTCAGCAGTAAGATAGTCGACAGTTGGAACCGGCTTCCCAAGGAATTCGTCAACCTCCAAACAGCGCAAGCGTATAAGACTGCACTCGGTGAGCGATAGGCAGAACTATTCCCATCCCTGGCAGTGAAAACGAGTGCAGGTGTGACAAATGCTTAGGATGCCTTTTCTCTATTTACTGGTACACGCATGGAATGCTCGCGTTTAATAATTCACTCGCCAAATTGGTGAGATGAGATGTTATTTATCATTTTTATTTCAGCAGTGCTGGGTGCCCATGTTGTGAGCATACCATCGGAGGACTTCTGGACGCTCGATTAGCTGTGGCCATATTCAGTCCTGTGCAACCTGGCCTGACCTGATCTGACCAATAACCTCCTCTCTCGTTTCCAGCAAAGTTTTCTACTTGACAGGTCATGCATCACCAAAATGCTGACCGTCATGGATAGCCTGACTAAAGCATACCACTCCGGCAACATGTTCCATGCCGTTTTCNTCCCTCTTTTTCACGAATTTGCGGCACACGGCATTGTAGACCCCTTGCTTACTCCTATTCGAAGCTTCTCTCAAATCGCTCATTTGCTGTTCGTGTTGGCAAATCTTCGTCACAGCCCATCCCAATTACGACCGGTGTTCCCCAAGGTTCTGTTCTAGGACCCATTCTCTTCCCCATTTATATAAATGACCGACCCGATGTTGTGCCATCAAGGATTGCGCTGAACACCGATAATGTTACCATCTGGGATACAGAAGCCTCTCTTTTACAAGCCTTAACTGATGCTACGAAACGCAGGTTACTGGATTTGAATCTTCCAATCAACAATGACAAGTGTGTTGGAATGACGTTCAATGTTGTGTTCAAAGTTCTGTTGACTAAACGTCGTGGCACATGCAAACCAGGTGCCTGTGACCACT